TTTATAATGACAATAAACGAAGTTGAAAGAATTCACGTGTATGCAAAAAAGAATCACAAAGACTCAATTTATTTTGAGCAAAAAGAGAAGTGCAGGAGGCATTACTATCTCAGATTTCAAACTATGCTACAGAGCTGTCTTAAGAACTCAATATATATGAGCTTGTGTGGCAGCGCACACCTGTAGTCCTGGTACTTGTAGACCTTTGGCAGGCACATCGTCACCTAGAGATTAAGCAGGGCTATATAGACAGTTTGTCCTCCCCACCCCCACCAAAAAAAGAATAGTGAAGAGAGAATATGTAGGGCTTTCTTTATGAGAATAAGAATATGGAAACGATTCAACTATGGCTTGTAATACATTATGATATGTGAATGTATGGCCCATTTTTCTGGTACTGGAGATTAAATCAGTGCCTTGTAAATACTAAACAGTGCTGTACACGCCTATTAGAAATGCCCACCTGGACAAGTTTTATTCCTTTCTGCCCACTTGTTAGCTTTTGTTAATTAAGAATTTTTCTAATTTATTTCTATTCTTTTTTTTTAATTTTTGGGTCCGGTCTTGGGCCTGAACTCTGGGCCTGGGCACTGTTCCTCAGCTCTTCAGCTCAAGGCTGGCGCTCTACCACTTGAGCCACAGCGCCACTTCCGGCTTTTTTTGCTTATGTGGTGCTGAGGATTCGAACCCAGGGCCTCAGGCATGCAAGGCAAGCACTCTACCACTGAGCCACCTTCCCAGCCCTAATTTATTTCTATTCTAAACTTTATGTGAAATGTTTCCTATCCCTTGACTATCTCCTCTTTCCCTTCTTGGATACCTATTAGCCTTAAATTAGGCGTATGGATTGAGGCGTAATTCCTGAAGGCTTCTTTCTTGTTTATTGGGTTTGTTCTATGTAATAATCTCCTGTTTTCAATTTGATTGGCTCTGTCTTCGAGATCTGAGACTCTATCTTCTGCTTTGTCTATTTGGCCACAGAAGCTTTATTGCTTAATCTGTCTTCTGTTTGGTCATTTCTGAGGACTTCTACCTTTCTACATCTTTTTTGAAGTCTTCTTTCAGGAATTTTTTTGCCAGTCCTGGGGCTTGAACTCAGGGCCTAGGCACTGTCCCTGAGCTTCTTTTGCTCAAGGATATCACTCTACCATTTGAGCCATAGCACCACTTCCAGCCTTTTCTGTTTATGTGGTATTGAGGAATCGAACTCAGGGCTTTATGCATGGTAGGCAAGCACTCTATCACTAAGCCATATTCCCAGTCCCCTTCCCCCCACTTAAAAAATATTTCTAAGGACCTCTTTACACCATTGATTTGTTTGTATTTTCCTTAATCTCCTGTAACTGGGTGGTTGTTTTACATTGGACACCTTTGTCAACTCTTGGACTTAAGTTTGCTTGTGGTCTCCATGAGTTCTTCCATTATTCTTTGGTTAGCCTGATCCTGCTCATGAATTGATACTATAATCTCAAATTTTTCATTAATTAAATGTATCAGCAATGTTTTTAGTGCATCTTGTGAAATATGTTCTAGGTGCCTATTTGTCTGCTCTGTTGTTGGGTTGTTTTCTGTGATTGTTGTTTCCTTGGATGTGCCTATTCCTAGTATTTCTGTGATGTGTTCTGCCCATTTGAAGACCCTTTTGGTTTTATCTTTTGGGAATCTGTGAGCTTCTAAATAAGTTGGTTCTTGGTTTTTGGTTGACTAGGCAGCTGGTGTTCTTTCCCTTTGTCGAGATTTGCTTATTTGGGTTCAGGTCTTGTAGGGATCTTTGGAGATACAGGGTTCAGTTGTGCTGTGGAATTGTACTGTTAAAGTATGGCTGTCAGATAAAAGTATTGTCGCTCTAAGAACATGGACAATATTCATTCAGTAATATTTGCTATATTTGCTATTATTTTATCTGGTGCCTAAAACCACTAATATGCCCAAGCTAGTAAAGTTAGTTGGTTTATCAGAATGTATAGTGGAGAAATGAACGTACTAAGTGAACAATGGTAATTCACTCCTCCAAACCATAATCCTTACATTTCTGCTTCCTGTACAGCTAGGATTCTAGGCATGAGAAAACACCACATAGCTGTTTTTTAAAAATTAATTAACCAATTAAATTTTAATTAAACTTTCATACAGGGTCTTACTGATCCTTAACTTGAAGTTAATATTATTGTGTGTCAGCTTCACATAAAGGTGTAAATAAATATATAGAAGCAGGGATAACAGCGAACCACTAGTTAATTTTCAAGAGTAAAAATTTGACAAATTTGTAAAGATTTGCCTTTACATTAGTTGGTAGTTAGGCATCACATGCACAAGGCAGGATCTCTACAATGAGCTAATGCCCCTAGCACTGCTTTGCTTGTAATTCTTAGGATAGAGTTATTTTTGCCTTCAAACAGGTAGGTCACTGAAGGTCCTATATAGCTTGATGTGCATTGTCACATTAAGGGTAATGGCAGGTTTTGACCTTTTCTGCAGTAACAATTGTAAGCCAAGTGAAACTTCCACATATTCCTTCCAGTCTCGAATTCTCTACACATTACCTCATGTCATACCTGTGGATTGACAAGTTGTTACAAGCATGAAAATAAGCATTTCTATACCCAGAGTAAATTTTTAGGAGAGCTAAGGTTTTGCTTCTATATTATGCACTTAAAGTTACAAGATACTATAAATTATTTCATATTGACAGAAGCAGCCAATGGGTGAAGACTTTCCCTCACTGCTTTTTAGTATAGTTACTCCGCATAGTAACTTTTTTCATGTTTTTCAGGAGCAATGTATTGAGCAACTGCATTTCCAAATTATGTACATCCAAATATATGCTTGGGATAATCATACATATACATATATGCATATATGTACATATATGTGTGTGTGCACATGTGTATACATACAGTGTTGAGAATTTCAAGCAAAAAATATAATACAAGCATGATGATGTATGCCTGCAATGACAACATTCAGGAGGCTAAGATAGGAGGATCATAAGGAATAAGAAATGCTCATATCATTTTCTAAAATTAGAAAAAATACTATAGATTTTTAAAAATTAAACTGTACTTATGTAAAGTATAATGGAATGTATTTTTGTGCTTTATGTATTTTATTTTTGTCTATTTCAACTCGTTCAGGTAAAACACTACAAAATAGTCCTGAATCATACTCTTGCCAGTCATGGTGGCACACATCTGTAATGTAATCCCAACACTTGGGAGGCAGAGGAGGAATGTTCAAGAGTTCAAAATCAGCCTAGGCAACATGGTGAGTTTTCAGCAAACCTGGGCAATGAGATTCTGTATGGTGGGGGTAAAGGAAGGAAAGAAGGAAGGAAAAATGAAAGGAATGAGTGAATGAGAAAAGGGAAAAGAAAAAAATAACATATACCTTTCTGTAGAACTTATTGATACATGTTCTTATTCTTCCTATCCTTTTAATCTTTATTATTGCTGTCAGAATTCCCCCCCCCCAAAAAAAAAGCCTGTCTCAGTTGTGTTCTGGGACAACTTATCTGGAGAGCTGGAGAAAGACGGGGACATTACTGGCTGAAGTAAGACATTAATAGTCATTAGAGCTATCAAAACCTTGACTAGTACATTCAGCCTCCAACATTCAGTTCCCATTATCTACAAGATGGATTCTAGTACAGCAGCCTGAGAATAACAACAGAATGGTCTAAGAGTGAATTAATCACAACTGAATAATTATATGTAAGGAAGTAAAAATAGAAGTCACTTCTGGTGTAGTCAACCTATACCAAAACTAGTCCAGCAACAACAAAAAGCATCAATGACCATTTCAAGTTCAACTACATTCATTTTCAACAATTTAAGTAACATCTGACATGTCATGGACACATAAAGTTCTATGAAAATAAAAACCTAAACACAATCCTACACAGTAACAAATTAATATAGCTTAGCTCATTGCTTTGAATGGTCCAGGATTTAGTAGCACTTACCCATGAAGCAATTTCTCACACACTTATAAAACATAAGGGAATCAAGGGCAGCATGGAATGTGGAAAATCCTAATTGCCACTGTATTTAAAGGTTAAGTACTTTTAGTTATGCCAGGTTCCAGTAAACAAAAAATGTTGACAAAGAACAATCATCCATACAGTCTATATGATTTGCAGGAACTGGTCTAATTATTACAACCCCAACTGTCCCCACGTCAAATATAACAGAACAGATGCACTGCTATGTTGTCAGCTGCTTTAAAGACTCCATGATATTTAACCCTTCTATTTGTTTGTATTACCAGGTTTCAACCTTTACTATAAATTCTGCTATATAAAATGTTAAGTCCTAAATTGGGCACCACTGCGTTCACACTTTTAATCCTAGCTACTTAGGTTACAAGTCAGTCCAGGTAGGGAAGTCTTTGAGATACTTAAAGATCTGGAGTGGAGCTGTGGCTACAATGGTATAGTGTTAGTCTTGATCAAAGAAACTCAAGTACAGTACTCAGGCTCTGATTTTTCTTTTCATCAGTACTGGTGTGCCAAAAAATTTGTAATTTATATAAAAACTGACAATGACATCTATAAAAGTTTACTTCATTCTCAATGCTTAATGAACCCTTTGACCTGATAAAAGCATCCCCTAATGTGCTGCTCTCTGTGGTCTCTGATTGTTCTGATTGAACTGATATGGGGACAAAAGTTTGTAAGAAACGTTTCATTCCTATGCACATTTTTTTTTTTTGTCAGTTGCTGGGCTTGAATTCAGGGCCTGAGCTCTGTCCCTAATCTCTTTTCAAGGCTAGTTCTCTACTACTTTGATTCACTCCTTCACTTCCAATTTTTGAGTGGGTAAAGTCTCACAGGGATTTTTCTACGTGGACTGGCTTTGAAACTAGACCCTTAGATCTCAGCCTCCTGAATAACTAGGATTACAGGTGTGAGCCACCAGCGCCTGGCCTGTGTACATTTTTTAACAGAGTGATAACTTTCCTCAGATCCTCCATATTCAAACACTGAACTGGTAACACACAGATCACACATACAAGTATTTATTTCTCAGTAATATAAAGTACAAAGGGAGATTTGGGCTAGCAGTAAATAAATCTATGTTCTCATTTCCTTGGCTCATATAATGAATGGGTCTTCTCCCAAAACACCTTGGCGATTATCTGATTCCATTCCCAAGGGCAGGATTTATTAGTTCTGAGGAAACATAGCAAAATTAAAAGGACTATTGCAAATGAAACAAATCCTCAACTTCACTCTTATGCAGACTATCAGATCTGCATTTGTCAACCCTGAAATTATTAGCCATCATGTGTTGAAATCCTCTGGACAGTGTTTAGGTACAGTACCTCATTTAGAATGACATGCTGAGAAATGTGGGCTCAGTGTGTGTCCAAGAGAAAAGAATGGTTTTAGAAAACACACAGCTAATCACCGCCATGTAGAATTTTCCTATATAAATTCTGAAGTTTTGTGAGATGGGATTTAAGACAGAAGGTTTTCCTAAACAGGTTTTATTTCCTGTGTGAGTCCTGTGATGCTTGCTGAAGTTGGACTTCTGGTTTAAAGACTTCCTGCATCCTTTGATATTTACAGGGTTTCTACCTTATATCCAGTTTTCTGATGCCTGTTGAGGTGTAACTTCTGGCTAATGGTTCTCCTGTTTATTACTTTTATGTGGTATCTCTCCTGTGGGTTCTCTGATGCACACTGAGGTGTGAATTCTGCTTAAAAGACTTTGCGCATTTGTTACATTCATAAGGTTTCTCTCCTGTGTGTGTTCGCTGATGCAAGTTAAGACTGGATAACCGGTTGAAAGACTTTGCACATTTGTTACATTCATAAGGTTTTTCTCCTGTGTGTGTTCTCTGATGCACACTGAGATATGACTTATAGTTGAAACACTTTCCACATTTATTACATTCATAAGGTTTTTCTCCTGTGTGTGTTCTCTGATGCACACTGAGGTATGACTTATTGTTGAAAGATTTTCCACATTTGCTACATTCATAAGGTTTCTCTCCTGTGTGTGTTCTCTGATGCACACTGAGGTGTGACTTGTGATTGAAAGACTTTCCACATATATTACATTCATAAGGTTTCTCTCCTGTGTGAATTCTCTGATGCATGTTGAGACTTGACTTTCGGTTGAAGGACTTTTCACATTTCTTACAGTCATAAGGTTTTTCTCCTGTGTGTGTTCTCTGATGCAAGTTAAGATTTGACATCCGTTTGAAAGACTTTCCACATCTGCTACATTCATAAGGTTTTTCTCCTGTGTGTGTTCTCTGATGCACACTGAGGTGTGAACTCTGCTTGTAAGATTTTCCACATTTCTTACACTTGTAAGGTTTCTCTCCAGTGTGAGTTCTCTGATGCTTGCTGAGATCTGACTTCAGACTGAAAGATTTCCTACATTCATTACATTCATAGGATTTCTCTTCTATGTGAGTTTTCTGATGTACAGTGACTCCTGATATGCAGCAAAAGGAAGTGCTATATTTGTTATATTCATGTTTTTTCTCTCCTGTGTGTGTTTTAGATTGGAAATTATGGTCTGACTTCTGACAGAAAGATTTTGTACATTTGTTATATTCACAGGGCTTTTCCTTGGGATATTTTCTTTGATGTGTCTTATGATTTACTTTCTTAGTGAGGGATTTCTCACATTTATTGCATATGTATGTGTTCTCTCCCATGTGCATTTTCTGATATTTAGCGAGTATAGAATTTATGTTGAATGTTTTCCCACATACAGTACATTCCAATGTTCTCCTTTTTACCTGAGCTATTTCTTGGACAATGAGAGAAGGCATGTCATAGGCTTTCCTATATTCTTTATACTTACAGGAGGGCTCTCCCACATGTGCCTTCTTATGAGTAAAAAATATGGTATCTGAGTTTAATACTTTCCCTTCTCCACCATATTCACACTTCTGCTGGTCAGCTGGACTCTGATGATGTTGACCAAAATGTGTAGAATGTCTCAGGGCTTGTTCAACTACATGAGTGACAACAAGCTTCTCCCCAGCATGATACTCATCAGAATCACTATGGAGAAGTATGTTCTGATGCACAATAGACTCCTTAGTTCCCATCCCTAGGGAGTTCCCATTATTCATAGCCAATTCTGACATATGGATTGAGCTCAAATTAAAAGTTCTTCTTAATGTAACTCTTTGCTCCACTGTGTCCCTATTGGTGACTACAACTTGACACAGATATCTCTCTGTGCTTTTTTGGCACATCTCAATCAAGTGATCCACTTGTGGGACATCTAAAATGATAAACAACAAAAAAAGAACAAGAAATATCAATGACACCTAAGCATTTTAAAATAATAGTCATGTAAAGGAAAAGACATTCCTTACCATCCTACTTTTGCATAATGACTTAACAAATACTGATATTTTACCATGTAAAAAAATGTTTTTCTCTGCTTTTTTTCTGTTTTAATATCAGAGGAAGTATGTAGTCCTAATACTTAACTATTGACTGCCTATAATTTTAAGCTGACTACATTTGTTTTCCTTGGGTTGTTGTTTAATTTTGTTCTGTTTTGTGGGGAAGCTTTTTGCGTTGTTTTGTTTTCTTATACTAATGGATATTTTGTGCCACTTTTGTTCTCAAACATTAGCTTGGAAGACAAAATATTTCCCAGGATCATATAGGCCACTTGCCTGTCTCCTAAGTAGGAGTGGTTTCTGAGATTGAGCATTTATATCCATGTTTGTTCAGTTTTTACTTCTCACTGAGAATTACTATATGCACCTGTGGAGATTTTCAAGTTCCTTCTTCATCTTAGACAGTGTCTTCCAAATTCCTATTCTGATACCCTGCCTCTCATAACTAGAACAGACAAAGCATATACCAGCTCACTACCCTAAGTGACCATCCTCTCTTGAATAAAATTTGATTCTGATCCCAGGTTGTGCCCTCTACCTTTGAAAAGCCTTTTTCTGGCTTATTTGAGGCTACTGGCCCAAGTGTCCTCCTCAGTTCCTGGTACATTTATGCTCCTAGTTTTATAGGAAGAAAGGGAAGTCTCCTGTACTTTTATTTCTTTAGAATTTCCATGAAAAGGAAAGGGAAATACTAACTCTAACTCTACTACCATACAAAATTCAGAATGCCTCCATATGGCCTTCAGACCAAAACGCCTCCAAGTTCTCTGCCACACCCAGGGCTGGAGAGAGATGGGGACATTGCTTAGAAGAGCTCAGTACATCCCTGTCCAAGATGTGCTGACTTACCTGAGAAATTCTTGTCTGAGGCTCCTCCCATCCATGGCTCTGTACCTTGCTCCAGCTTGACAATCACTTCAGGTTTAGGAACACAGTGCCCTGATAATGGAAAATAACATAGAACTTTTGCCTATGCTGGGTCCTCCTTGGAGTAATGATCTCTCAATCTGGTATACAGACTTTCTCTCTAAACCCAAGTCATATCTCCAATACTGATGTACAGCCCTTTCTAGATTGCATATTCACCTGCATATATGTCAAACTTGGAAAAGCATCACCATAAAATTAAGCTAGCCTTAAGTAAATCATAATCTCTCTAAAATGTCCTCCCCTTATAATTTCACTGTGTAACATCACATTTTTCTTCTCTGTCTCATCCATGCAAATATTCTTTGTGGATCATATCTCACTTCTCAAAGTTATGTAAGTTCTTTAAAAGAATACATTTGTCTGACTAATGGTATTATCTACACAGCCCCCAAAACATCAACACCACTGAAGTATCCAATTAAAGACACTGAAAGAATAAGTGAACTATTAGGAAATGGCAGGTGGCAGGGAGTTCTTAAGAATGGGAAGAAAAGAGGCAAGTGAAATTATAGAAAAACTAAGGGAGAAAATATCATAGTGAGATAATGACTTGAGTCTTAGGAAGTCTTAAAAAACAAAAATGGGGAGGTGCATTTGTAACAGAGCCACCATGGAGACTGCATAATGCAGATAGATGTGTGATGCATGAGAGCAGCTGCTCACAGGTGTGAAAGTTGGCAACACAGCTGAGGCCAGCTCAACACAGCCACACTGGCTCTGACCTTCCCAAGCTCCATACTCAGAAGTATTGACTCTCCTACAAACCTCTGGACCCAGGGTTCTTCTCCCATCCAAGGCTCTGTCCTGTGCCCCAACTTAATAATCACCTTAGGTGTGGGAACACAGTGCTCTGTCCATGGGAATAGTACAGAACTTGTGCCCAACTACTGTCTCAGCTCCTTGAAAAATGACAACAGGAGTTGTACAACCACTTTGAAGTTTTTCTTATTTCTCAGAGAAAGGTGACAATCCTCATGTAATGGAATCTTACATTTAAAAAGCATTGAGTCTGATAAATATTTTTCTATCTAATAAAAACAAAGCACTTGCTCCTTTGAGTTAATGTGACTTCTGCTTACCCAGGAACACTAGGTTGCTGTAGGTCTCCATCATTACATCCTTATACAGGGTCCTCTGAGCACTGTCCAGGTCTTGCCACTCCTCCAAGCTGAAGTCCACAGCCACATCCTCAAATGACACCAACCCCTGGAACAACATATTTCAAACAAGTCATTTGGCCATAGTCATGAGAATACAAAGTCTGAGCTTTCATTCTTCTACACATATGCCTGTGTCCTACATAAGAGAGCAGGAGCTTGCTTGGTTTTTTTATACAGTGGGAGAAAAAAAAATCTAAGTGGAAATATCTGGCTCTATGCTAACTTGCTAAAACAAAGTTTTCCTTATAGATCAGCAATGTCTTTGGTGCTAGCAATAGAGACATAAATTCTCCTTTAAGAAGCTAATAATCTGTGACAACATTAACTATAAGAATGTGCCTACAGGGCTGGGAAGGTGGCTCAGTGGTAGAGCACTTGCCTTGCATGCATAAGGCCCTGGGTTCGATTCCTCAGCACCACATAAGCATAAAAGAAAAAAGCCAGAAGTGGCGCTGTGGCTCAAGTGGTAGAGTGCTAGCCTTGAGCTGCAGAGCTGAGGAACAGTGCCCAGGCCCAGGCCCAGAGTTCAGGCCCCACGACAGGACCTCCCCACCCCACCCCCCCAAAAAAAGAATGTGCCTACAATAGTGTGTTAAGCTTGTTTAGATACAAGTTTACTTGTAAATTAGGGTAACAAGGAAATAGAAAAATTTTTAACTGAATTTTCATGTTGTGCTTCACTAAAAAGCCTATTTACATCTTCTATATAACTGTTATCAGAAACAGCCAGAGCCAGAGTATTTTTTATTTTATTTTTTTGGTTGATCGTGGGGCTTGAACTCTGGGCTTGGGTGCTGTCCCTGTGCTCTTCAGCTCAAGGTGAGCGTTCTACCGCTTGAGCCACAGTGCCACTTCCAGTTTTCTAGTAGTTTATTGGAGGTAAGAGTCTCATGGACTTTCCTGCCTGTGCTGGCTTTGAACCACGATCCTCAGATCTCAGCCTCCTGAGTAGCTAGGATTACAGGTGCGAGCCACCGGCACCCGGGTAGAGCCAGAGTATTTCTAAAAAATACACAAGGAATACATTATACATGAGCAGATCTACAGAAAGCAGTGTTCAGATGAGCGTTAAAAGGAGTAACATCCTGAAGAAACAGATTAGGCTTGTAAGACTTGACTGAGTTCTAACAATATTAGTGAATCCCTACATATTAAAGTATAGGCACCCTTATACTTCCTTCCCAATTATTAAAGAAATGCTAGCAAGTACTTTTATGAATATCACCCGCCTCTCACAATACAGAACATTGGTGAATGGAGAACAAAATATCTCTTGACCAGGTCTGCAATTTCACAGTACCCCATGAAAAAGTAGATGGGAAATGGAAAAGGCTTAAGAGATAATCAGAGGAAAAGAAAGCAGTGTGAAATATAACCACTGATGGCAAGAGAAAGAAAAATAAGAATAAAGAACAAGGAAGTGTTAACCCAAAGTGGGAAAGAATATGAAAGAAGTTGTAATGAAAATTGGTATTAATCTGTTTTGTAGAGGGCAGAGGAAAGTGTTTGGAGCCCCACTTCAAATGAAGAATGCCTAACCACCTTTCCATCCCGGCTATACATGTTAATACCAGACATGAATGTTGATTCTTCATCACACAAAAAGAAAATGTCCACAAACTGTTGAAGAAAGTAACATTCACCATATGCTAGTGGCTTACCCAAGTAATGCAATCTACTCAGGAGGCTGAGTTCTGAGAATAATCACTTGAAATCAGTTTGGGCAGGAAAGTCTGTGAGACTTTTTTTTTTTGGTCAGTCATGGGGCTTGAACTCTGGGCCTGGGTGCTGTTCTGAGCTCAAGGCTAGTGCTCTACCACTTGAGCCACAGAGCCAGTTTTCTGGTGGTTAATTGGAGATCAGACTTTTGTGCCTAGGCTGGCTTTGAACTGTGATCCTCTGATCTCAGCCTCATGAGTAGCTAGAATTACAGGCATGAGCCACCAGTGCCCAGCGTCTGTGAGACTCTTATCTCCAATTAACCACCAAGAAATGAGAAAGAGAGCTGTGGTGCAAATGATAGACTACTATCTTTGAGTACAAAAGCTCAGAGACAACACCCAGGCCCCGAGTTCAAGCCCCAGGATTTCCTGGGGCTTGCCCTTCACATAAATACATATTATTATTTAATTCACAGTCTTCTATCCAGAAAAAAATATTCTAGAAATGTAGATTGAAGACATTTTCACATATTCATCAACAGCATACCTGCACTTCAAGATTGATACAGAAAATTATTCTGCTTCAAAAGAATGACGTAAGATGCTAATATAGTTGTACAGACAGGACCAGGATGATACATAGGGAAAGTCTGTAGGTAAACATAAAGGATTACAGAAACAATTTTTTTTTACATAATCTCTTAAAATGATGGTTTAGAGCAAAACCCACAACACTGTGTAAGTGATTCACATGCATAAACACTCAGTATACAAATATATACACACATTACAAATCAAAACAAATGGACTAGGGATATAGATCAAATGGGAGAAGACTTGCCAGACTAGTGTCAGCCTTTGAAATTAAATATCCAATACCACCAAAAATTAAAAAAAATATAAAAGACCAAGGTTACAAACAGCACTATTCAACTGAAAAGTATTTTTTTTTTTATGATGCAGTATGATATTACCCTAAGAATATTGTAAACTCCTAGAGCAACTATAAATAATGCAACAAAGTATGGCATATTAGTTGTCAATGGCTGCTATAACAAAGAATCCCACTGGCTGAAAATTCATTTTCTTATAGTTCTAGAAGTGGGAGCATAAGAAAATGTTGCTGAAAGTTTATCCTTTCCTGAAGCTCTATATTTCACCCTGAGGATGGCTAAAATCCCTGTTTTCTTTCATATTTTTGGGTCCCACAGAATCAACCAACTGTGGATTCACAATATTAAAAAAAAGAAAGAACTCTATCCTGAACATGTACAGACTTACAAAATGGTCGCCATCCTCTGGACAATGCAGTAGAATAAGAATTTACACAGCATTTAAATTGTGCTAGGTATGACAGGTAATTTAGAGGTGTTATGTTGGTTATATGCAAACACATACCATTTCACATGAGGAACTTGAGCACCTACAGATTTTGGTATAAGTAAGGCTTTCTGGAGCCATTCCTTGTGGATACTCTTAGATGACTATAGTAGAAATATCCACTTAGCCAAAAAAAAAGGATAGAAAATAGAAAGCAAGTACCAGATGGCACAAATAGAAAATTGGCAAAGATGCTAAGTAACATGCTTAAAAACAAAGTCTTCAAAGATACGTCCAAAACCTATGTATTAAAAAGGGATTTTTAAACCCACATTCACAATTGGAGAATTAATATGCCTCTTAGTAACTAATTGAAAAAAAGACACACACACATGGATGACATTATTTTGACTTAACTGCTATATATAAAATACTGTGTGTTACATTTACAAAGACAGACATACTAGGGATAAAAATGGCTTTAAGGACAAAATGTAGAATGTATGCTCTGACCAGAGTGAAAGTAGAAATCAACAAGAAAAAGAAGCCATAAGTTGTAAATACACTGAAATTAAACATTTCTAATGATCTATGAGTGCAATAAAACAATGTAGACGGAGTCTAGAATAAAATGTCATTTGCATTTATGGTATATTAAAGGTGATCACAAGCTTTTTTAATATACTAGAGAGGAAAACAAATTTCTCCATGGAAGTGGGTTGGCCTTAGTATTTGCTTAGTCAAGAACACCTAGCACAGTCAGAAGAACAGTTAGTTATTAGAGAGAAATGTCAGCACTTAATTTGAAACATGGACTATTTGAATGAGTTGAATATTAACTTCTACATAAACCATAATAATCATCTTGTTTCATTGTAGCATCAAACTAACTATGAATTTTAAATGTTTAGTGAAAGAAACAAAACAAAACAAAACCAAAACAATCACAGGAGTCTGTCACCTGTGGGTCAAGCTCATTACCTTAGCTACTAAGGAGGCTGAGGTCTCAAAGCCAGCCTGGGAAGACAACTTCACGTAACCAGCTAATAGACAGGCTGAAAGCATGGCTGAAGTGCCGGTGCCAGTAGTGAGTTAGCTGATCAAATGTGAGGCCTCTGAGTTCAAGCCTCAGTACTGGCAAAAGAAAAAACAGCTAGGCAAGGTGTATGAGCTAGAGATCAACTGGGGCAACAGAGAAAGTATCCAATTATAGAAAGAAAGAAAAACTAAGAGGAGGGAATGGAGGAGGATCAGGGTAGGACAGAAAGTTTCACAACAATTTTGACAATTTGACAATTACTTCTTGGATATGATATCAAAAGTACAAGTTACAAAACCAGACAAGTTTAACTGCATAAAATCAAAACCTTGTGCATCAAAGGGCTATACCAACAAAGAAAAAGCACCTTATAAAATTCAAGAAAATATTTGCACATATTTCTTAATATATTAATAGCCAAATTTCATTTTAATAATTATAAAATAAAATCCTATGATGCAAAACCAAATGAAAAGTCTGGTTTAAACATGGGCAAAAGGGCCGGGCACTGGTGGCTCACTGTAATCCTAGCTACTCAGGAGGCTGAGATCTGAGGATTATGATTAGAATGCAGCCTGGGAGGAAAGTCTGAGAGACTCTCATCTTCAATGAGCCACCAGAAAACTGGAAATGGAGCTGTTGCTAAAAGTGGTAGAGTGCTAGCCTTGAGCATACAAAGCTTAAGGACAGCACCCCAGCCATGAGTTTAAGCCCAATGAACCACACACACACACACACACACACACACACACACACACACACGCACAAAAGTGCAAAAGACTGAAGAGACTCCTACAAAGAATTTAGAGAAATGTCTCACTAGCATATGAAAACATGTTCAATATCAATAGTAGGAGGAAAAAATTCAAATCAAACTCACAATGAAATAGCTACTTATCCCATTAGTATGGACATATTGTTCTTTTTGTTTATTTTTTTGTCGGTCATGGGGCCTGAACTCTGGGCCTGGGCACTGACCCTCAGCTCTTCAGCTTAAGGCTAGCACTCTACCACTTGAGCCACAGCTCCACTTCTGGCTTTTTCTTCTTATATGGTGCTGAAGAATCGAACTCCGACTCTCATGCATGTAAAGCAAGCACTCTACCACTGAGCCACCTTCCCAGCCCCAGACATATTGTTCTTTATACTATAAAAAATGCAACCCCTGGGGCTGGGAAGGTGGCTCAGTGGTAGAGCACTTGCCTTGCATGCATGAGGCCCTGGGTTCGATTCCTGAGCACCACATAAGAAAAAAGAAAAAAGCCGGAAGTAGCGCTGTAGCTCAAGTGGTAGAGCGCTAGCCTTGAGCTGAAGAGCTAAGGGACAGCGCCCAGGCCCAGAGCAGGCCCCACGACCGGACCCCTCCCCCCCCCAAAAAAATGCAATCCCTGCTTTTACTGTATTTGATGTCGGTATAATTTGTGGAGGGGAAGGGAAGAAACAAATCGTTTAAATAGGGATACAGGTGGACCCATTGCAACAATGAGATGTACAAGTCGTTATGTCAAAAACGAACTTTACAACTTTGGTGTGGGGGTGGGGGGAGGAAGGGGTGAGGATGGGAAGGGATGGGAAGGGGAAATAAAGGAGGAGGCTACAATGCTTGATAAGAAATGTACTCATTATCTTGCCTATGTAATTGTAACCCCTCTGTACAGTATTTTCACAATAAAAAAAAATTATCTTTAAGTAGTTGTACAAGAAGTTCCCATTCTACAAAACAGTATATGAGTACAAAGTGTCTGACAACATTGTCACCCATCTCTCTTAACCCATCCCTTCTCTCACTTTTTTTCTTTAATTGAGATTAGGTGATTACATAAATTTCACATATTTCACAGTATTGTGGAAAATCAAATAATATTGTGCTTTAAAAAGGAAGTAAATTCTAAACCATGCCACAGCATGGATGAACCTTGAATACAATGGGCAGAATAAAACAAACCAAAAGAATAGCTATTCTACGATTTCCCTTACTGAGGTTCTGAGAGTCAATAAACTCAGAGACAAAAAGTAGACCTGTAATCCTTGCTTCTGAGGAGGCTGAGATCTGAGGATCATGGTTCAAAACCAGCCTGGGCAGGAAAGCCCAGGAGACTCTTATCTCTAATTAACCACCAGAAAACCAGAAGTGGCAATGTGGCTCAAGTGGTAGAGCACTTGAGCCTTGAGCCTTGAGCTGATGGACAGTGCCCAGGCCCAGAGTTCAAGACCCATGACTGACAAAAGAAAAAAAAAAAAAGAATGGTTAATCCAGTGAAAAAGCTCTGAGACAGTGCTCAGGCCAATTGAAGCCCCACTACTGGGGGTGAGGGGAGTGAGGGGGAGGAAGTAGAGGAGACTGGTTAGTGTAGCCAGGTATGGTAACACATACCTATAATACCAGAACTTCATAGTCTGAGGCAGGATTACCATCCGGCCTAGACTAGGGCAGCCTAGAATACAGAGCAAGACTTGTCTTCAAAAGTAATATTTTAAAATGACAAATTTTACATTATGTGAATTTTGTCAGAGATATATGTGATGTATCAATTTCCCCTGATTTTAAGTAACTGAAAACAACAGAAAGAATGAACTTAAAAAAGCCTGGTAACATGTTAAGTTTGTTTTTAGCTGGAAAAAAAAACCCCTACAAATAGAAATAAAAAATGTATTATAATCTGTGCAACCTGGTTTTTATTCTTTGTATTGATTTTAAATTGACTGCTGTTTGAATATGTCCCACTAATTACTGAATGCTTTCTCCCAGTATATTTCTAAGGATATGATGCCACACACAATGTGGTAAAAGCAGGTTCTGGGAGATTAATAAACAAATATCCTTCAGATTTTGCCAGGAATTTCACTTGTAATGTAAAAAATCAAGCTACTCCTTTTATACTGCCAATGGGTCCAAATTATTGAAGTGAGAAGGACAAATCAGAAAACAGTACTGACTCAAATGAGGTTAGATCTGAAAGGACAAAATCAGGAGAACTTCAGTTTGTTGCTGTGGGTCACTAGATGGAAGGTAGTAATTTTCTCATATAAAGGTTGAGAGAATGTTAATTTAGAGTGCCACTGTAGCTAAGGAAAATTAAAGAGTAAGAAGAACTAGCCCACAACAGAGCACTTGGAGAGAAGAAAGAAAGGAAGGAAGGAAGGAAGGAAGGAAGGAAGGAAGGAAGGAAGGAGAGAAGGAAGTCAGGAAGAAAAAGAAAGAAGGACAAAGAGAGACAGAGAGACAGAGAGAGAGAAAGAGAGAGAGAGAGAGAGAGAGAGAGAGAGAGAGAGAGAGAGAGAGAGAGAGAGAGAGAGAGAGAGAGAAGAGAGGAGGGAGAATAATTCAGGAAACTAGAGAAAAAAAATCATAGGAGGTGGAAAGGAACAGAGGGGATTTCTCAGAAGACCATGGACAATTTCTTCAAATATAGCAGAAGTTTCAAGTGAGTCAAAACCAGAGAGCAGTCATGGGGTTTGAGTATAATTTGGTGACTAATGAGTTTCAAAGAAAACACAACTGTGGCAATCTACTGCATTTCCTATGGGAAGTTCACATTAGCCAATAGATATGTACGGACAATAATTCAAGTACACATGGCTTACTCAGTCCTCTACAGCATTTAGAGGTGTTAGTAAAAATTACAGCAACTGCAGGAAAACTTCATTAAAACAGTTTAATGTGACTAATGAGGATGGAATTTCTGACCAGTTGCCAGCAAATCTTCACATTACATGAGAAATTAGCATGCTCACCCCTAGTTATTGAAGCATGTAACATTATAATCATATAACATCAGATAAACCAGAGAGAAATTTGAGACAAATCTGCACTTACTCTTAAATTTTATAATCTGTTAAATCTACAAGCCATCTTTATTTTACTTAGGAACAATTCCCTGAGGCTGAATCTTAGTTTTCTACTTTTCCATTTTAATTCTTGGACTGGTAACATTCATAAAATGTAAAACAAAATGAGGAATAAAACCAAACATACCAGAGATCCATTCATTTTTTGTATTGTTACTGTTGGCAATTCACAGAAGACTCTGGAAGCACAGCTGGGAGAGAAGGCAAACAAAGTAGAGTCAGAGAAGAACTAGTGTGGCTTTGTCATAGATTTTCCTGCTCAAAGCACTGCACAGGGGCTGGAAGAGTAAAAAGCCTTCCTTTGGGAAAAGAACAATTTATGTCTCAAGTAGAGGCATCAGAATCTCCACTACAGATATACTCACAATCCATTAGTCTGTAGGAATTATAAATGCAATTCTGGGTTAATATACCTACAGAATTGGCAACAATATTCCTTCAAAAAATTTAGTAATTTAAGCCAAAGAAGGACATCTTATGTCTTCACTAAAATTAATATTATAGTAATAGACTTAGGAATGTATGGGCTATTTTCCTTTTATGGTTATCCTGCTTTTGAACAGTTGAACATCATGAAGTATGCATGTTACAATAAGTCTTTTTCACTTCAAACTTTATAGAAAAAATATATACACAATATATATTTTTTAATGGTTCCCAAATGACACATCATCCAAGTACTCAGAGTAGCCCTGGAAAATGATCTGGAATTTACCATTTAATGAGACAACAGAACATCAGGAAAGATAATGTAAATGTAAGTTTGAAAAGTCCTTAGTATTATCTTTTGTGAACACAGTCATTCTGTGAAGAACCTTGGCTGTACTGCTGGAGATACAGGGCTAATCAAAAGCCAGCAGGAATTACTGGTCCTAGGAGTGTCACCATCCTAAACCCAACTTAACCTTCCTCAAGCAGGGAATGAGAGGATTAAAGAAAGTTTCATCTGGTATCTAAAAAAACAGTGACACAAAATGCTTAGCTGAGCGCATCCCAAAATGTAACTCCTATAAAACAAATAAAATGGTTGTGTGCTTTGGCAGGTAAATGTTGATGGGTTTAATATGTTGGAAATGCTGGTATTTTCTACACCTGTGTTTCTTTTACAAAAGGATGTAGGAGAGAAACTCTTCAAATACAGTGAAGTAAATTTTACAGCCACATGTACAAATAATGAAAATCCTCATGAGCAACAACTGTATGGACTTCAGTGAGTTGCTACTGCCACTAAAAACCATGTGAATCATTAAAAAGCAATGCTGCATGCTCGTATTTAACTTTTTCATTATCATAAGTGTTTCTACTTAACAAACTCCCCCCACAAAAAACATAAAATACATTTTTTTTCAGACTTAGTTTTATTCTTAGTATTTTTAGATAATTCATCAATGCTTGAAGCATAAACCACCTTTCCTAATATAAATGTCAGCATTTTCCCTCCACCCCAATGTCTTTGCTCCTGACTCATAGAAGTGCTGGCAATTGTGGAAGGGACAGAAATGGGACGGACTTCTGAGACCCTCCATTCCCTCCCCACTGCAGGCTGTGATTGTGAGAGGTCAGTGAGAAATTTATTTTTGGATTTGTCAACAGATTTGTAAACCTGGGACAATAAAATACATTTGTTATATGCTATGTACTCCATATCCACAATGGTTGAGACTTCACGTTAATAGATTTTGGTTGAAACTTCATGTGTTAACTGATTTTACTGGGAGTGAGGAGGAATGTTGTACTGAATTTTAGAATATCTTCATAGACTCTATTAGCTGCATACCCCTACTCCAAAAAATTTACAGGTTCAAAATTCAGAAATTCTTTCCTTTCTCTCCTTCTCTCTCTCCCTAGTAGTCCTGGGGCTTGAACTTAGGGCCTGGGCAATGTCTCCAAGATTCTTTTTTCTCAAGACTAGCATTCTATCATTTGAGCCACAGTGCCATTTCTGGCTTTTTCTGAGTTTATTGGAGATGAGAGTCTCATGGACTTTCTTGCTGGCTTTGAACCATGATCCTCAGATCTCAGCCTCCTGAGTAGTCAGGGTTGCAGGCATGAGCCACCATTGCACAGCACAGATTTTCTAGTTAGGAATAAAATCTATATCTAAAAAGGCATTGTATTTTATTAATGTTATATGAAATTGGTTTGGAATAGAAGTATAGTCTATCTAATCTCAAGTAATGCTTATTATTGTAGCATACAATGTGTAATTTTTCAAATACAGATTCACAAAGTTGAAAATATTCATGTAAATAATATTTTAAAGTCACAAACATCACAGAAAATATTAAGGATTAAAAAAAGTATCAATATGTTTTAAGGAAAGTATTTTGAAAAAAGAAGGGATTTGTTTGTGCCAAACTGATTTCAATTCCCAAAAAGAATTTTTTTTTTTGTTGGTCATGGGGCCAGAACTCGGCCTAGGCACTGTCCCTCAGCTCTTCAGCTCAAGGCCAGTGCTCTACCACTTAAGCCACAGCACCACTTCCGGTTTTCTGAGTGGCTTACTGGAGATAAGAGTCTCACATCTCACAGACTTTCCTGTCCGGGCTGGCTTTGAACCATGATCCTCAGATCTGAGCCTCCTGAGAAGCTAGAATTACAGGCTTGAGCCTCGGACTTTGGGCTAAGAATTTCTTAAGTAAAACAATCCTTCCTTCTTTGAGCAAATTGTTGCAAATGGAAAGGAGTAGCTAAAACTAGGATATTTAACAACTACAAATCATACAAGCACACTGATAAATTACCTTAAGTTTTGTTTTGTCTTTAAAAAAATAAGGCTGAGGGTCTCTGGAAAGCACTTCTTGAATTGCCAGGAAAAATCATTAGGTTAGAGAGAGCATCAGCACATCTCTAGATGCCACAGTTTAGTGACAGGTTTGAAAGAGCTCACATCTAGAGATTACCTGGAGAAACAGGATGAGTGAGAGTGGGGTGAGGGTACCAGTACATACATCTTCACAGTGTGGCAGGGTCTCCTCCACCCCGACCCAGGTCGGGTCCCCTCTGGTAACTAGGCTCTGGCTCATTCCTCAGTCCAGCTCACCTCTCTCTCCTCAAGGTTGGTCCCAACCTCAGAACAGCACGAAGGGGTCCAGAGCTTTGGAGGAAACAGTATCACGCGAATCTTGTGCTGTGGACGTAGCAGCAGTAAGTGCTAAGGGCAAAGCTGACCAGAGCTGCTCCTTTCTGTGACTCTGCTTCGGTTCTCCAGGGCCGGTGTGCACGCGGGGCAGCATTCCCGCAGGAGGGATTCCAGTCATAGGCTCCGTCTTCCAACTACGTTACTTAATCCCAGAGCACAGGACCCCACTCCGTACTCCAATACTCCACGTAGAAACTTTTCTAGAAACGAGGTCGTGCACAAACTAGTGTGAAATCGAGTCAGCGAAATGTCACTAGAACAACACCGACCCCCACAAACGCAGCCGCCTCTCAAGACTTCACATGGTACCGCGGTTGTCATTCGCGAATCTCAAGCTGGGCACGGGGTACGATGGCACGCGGGGACGCCCACGCTGGCCTCGCGGCCTCCCCTGGAAGGACAGCCCGCCCGGCCCGGCCTCGGGAGCCAGGCCCGGCCCGGGACGCACACCCGCTCCGGGAGGAGCCCGGGCCCAAGGGGCCTCAGCCGCGCGCCCAGCTCAGGCTCCGCAGCCGCACGCAGATTCCGCCACCAACTCCCGCGTCAGCCCACAGGTCTGCAGAGGGGAGGCGAGGTGGCTCCGGTCACCCGCCAGGAAGCCTCCTCACACGGAACCCAACCTCCCAGTTTCTCTAACCACAAGGGAACAGCCAGAAAGCAGGATTTCCGGGCAGAAAACGATGGGAGAGGTGGGGAGGCGCACACGCAGCAGCAACCCGGAAATGCTTTCCACTGACCTGTACTCGAGGAAAGACTACATTTCCCACAATGCCGAGCACCATCCGGCTGGAAGTCGGTTTGCTTCAAGGGCTCGACTTGGGACCAGATCAGAGGAACTGTTTCTCGCTTGAGCCAGTCTCCTGGGGCCCAGCCGAGTCGACCCTAAAAGTTGGTTTCATTGACATATGTTACATGTTATTGTTTTTATTTTTTTTTTGTGGGTGTTTATGTTGTAAGGTGAATCATCCCAGAAGCCATATTTTGAAATATAGAATATTGGAGTCTTTATTATACAGTTAGCAAGCTGCAGGCAGCCAGTTGTTTCAAAGGTCTGTAGTCCCCAAATACACGTAACACAGCTAGGAAACAGGCTAACAAGGAAAGAAAGAACAAAAACAGTATCAATAATACCAACAATCCAGTTCAGCTCCAACTAAGAGCTGAACTGGGTCACCATGATGACTGGAGATGAGCCAAGAGACAGGACACAGGATATGATCAGAGACTCATACGACCTGGCATCCTCGTGGCTGAGCTTGTCTGGGCCTAAACAGGCAGAGCCGCAGGAAATTCCCACTCCTAGTCACTGGACTGACAGGTTCAATAACCTACCTCCAGGGTCGGGGCACGCCCATCACGTGGGGGCATTTCCCTCCCCCAGCATGAAGACAAGATGCCAGACCCCACAATCCAACCATGTGGCCAATATAGTGTGTACCTGACCTGACCTCCTTACTTCATTTGTACGTGTGCAGTAATTGGGGATTGAACTCAAGGACTGAGCACTGTCCTTTAGCCATTTTGCTCAAGGTTACCCGCTACCACTTGAGTCACAACTGGCTTCTAGGTAGGATTACAGGCATGAGTATGAGCCACCAGTGCCTGAATCAATACATCATTATAATTATCGTTAATTTAATGAGATTTCAATCCAGCAAATCCGTTTGTATATACAGCACATCTTGGTCAATGTGTCACCCTTTCCATCTTTCTCTATTTTCATACCATTTATCCCATCCTCACTTGTCTCCTTTTCATTTTCATGTATGTATACTGAGTATTCGGGCTGTAATGACTCACATGGTTCCTCTCCTTTATTCATCCACTCCCCTCATCATAGGTCCCACTTCCTTCAAACAAGACAGGTATCAGGTTCCTGTTATTCATTTTTTAAAACTGTTAAAGTTATTCAAGGCAGATACACCGTGGAGACCTACGCCTTAGTAGACCCTACTTTAATCATTTTGAGCAATCATAAATGCATATTGCCCTGCATTATTTTTCATATACGTTTATATTTTAGCTTTGACTACTTTGGGGTGCTATTATTGTAAGTGCCAACCCAGAAAACCACTCAGACACACAGTCACAGAAGAAAGAAGTGTTTAATGTCAGCTAGGCTATCTCTTGCAGGATAGAGAGTAACAACTGCTCTCACAGCCTTAGAGGTAGATATAGTGTCAGGAGTCTGAGGGCAGAAGAAGGGGCTGGGGCAGGAAATCTTTATAGTCAGAGTTGGACACTGGAGATATCAGACAGCCAGGGCAGGACATTCTATAGCTGGTGTGCAGCCAGGGAAAACTTCCTATCACAGAGACAATACATCCTCTATCTAGCAAAATCAATAAATCTTTTTTTTTTTTTTTGGTTCCGGTCTGGGACCTGAACTCTGGGCCTGGGCGCTGTCCCTCAGCTCTTCAGTTCAAGGCTAGCGTTCTACCACTTGAGCCACAACGCCACTTCCGGCTTTTTTTCTTTTTGCTTATGTGGTGCTGAGGAATTGAACCCAGGGCCTCAGACGCATGCAAGGCAAGCGCTCTACCACTGAGTCACCTTCCCAGCCCCAAATCAATAAATCTTATAGCTGTCATGTGGGGGGGGGGGTGAGGGGGGGGACATCTTAGAGTGGAGAGAATACATTCTATAGTTGGCACCTTGTGATAATACACTAGAATCAGCGTGACACCAGGACTAGTATCTGGACTCTGTTGCTGACGCAGGCAGGCCCTGTGGGAATAGACAACTATGGCCAGGCCTGGCTTGTGTGACCCAACTGTCACCCCAAAGTAAGAGTGAATAAGCTTACAATTATTATTATACTTAAGTAGTTTTCCAAAGGAGTTTGAATCCAGTCTTGTTTCTTTTTCACACCTGATTGTTCTGTTGCAGTTACAATTAAGTTAGTTGCTACTTCTGATGTTCTTCCTTGAAATGACCCAAGGTTGAATTATATATTGAATACATTTTTCCTACTGTTTTGCAGAATTATTTAAGAAAACCTCCCCATAAGACAAATCTAATAACCTATGTTTTATCTCTAACAAGTAATTAAACATCACCATTAAACATGGAATTAAACATTATTATTCAAGGTTATATCTTCATCACTTTGCAACTACATTTAAATCATAATGGAAACCTGGCTTCATGCACATCTTTGCTTTCCCCATGTTCAGGATTATTATTTTCTTTTTTGTCAGTCGTGGGACTTGAACTCTGGGCCTGGGTGCTGTCCCTCAGCTCTTTGGCTCAAGGCTAATGCTCTACCACTTGAGCCATAGCACCACTTCCGGTTTTTTGGTGGTTTATTGGAGATAAGAGTCTCATATACTTCCCTGCCCGGGCTGGCTTTGAACCATGATCCTCAGATCTCAACCTCCTGAGTAGCTAGGATTACAGGCATGAGCCACCAGTGCCTGGCTAAGTTTTTTTTTTTCCCTCAAGGGTAGTACTCTACTACTTGAGACACAACTCCACTTGCAGCTTTTGGTAGTTAATTGGAGATAAAAATTTCATGGACTTTCTTGCTTAGGCTGGCTTTAAACCATGATCCTAAGCTCTTAGCCTACTGAGTAGCCAAAGTTACAGGAATTATTCACCCTGCCCTGCCTGTATTCTTTGCTTGTAGTGATCCTATGACTGATTTTAGTCTTTGCATTCCAGAATTTCACAGATGAGTAGAGACAACATACAATAATATGAATTGAAGTCAATGCCATAGGGCTACTATGAATAAATGCATGGAAATATATGGAAAAATTTAGCTGTATTATCCACCATAATGTTATGTGGGTGTTGGAATTCTGCAGAAAGGCAGGGTTATTAATATTATATGAGGAAAGAAGCATAGTTAAAAAGATGATAAAGGAAAAAATGGCACATTACTTGATAGTAAAGTTCCAGAAGTTTCAATAAGACTCAAATAGAGAATGTAAAAAAGAATTTTTTGGTATGAGATAGAAAAGTCAGATTGACTAGACATGTACATGTACATGTTCAAGAGAGTGATGCATTTCTACCACAAGCCATAGACATTGTGCGTGTATGTGTGTGTGTATGTGTGTGTGTGTGTGTGTGTGTGTGTGTATGTTACTGGGGCTTGAACTCAGGCTATGGATAGCTGTCACTAAGCCTTTTCTTTCAAGACTGGTGGTATTATAAATAAATTGGAGATAAAGCCTCATGGACTTACCTGGCCTTGATGAGTTAGAACCAAGATCCTCAGATAGCAGCCTCCTAATTAACTAAGATTACAAGCATGAGCCACTAGTGCCTGGCTCATGAACTTTTAAAAAGATGACATTCATTACATCTTAATATGTAAAATTACTAGAGTTAAAAAGATCATAAGTGTTAAATATTCCTATAGAGAAATTGTAGAAAAGCTGGTAGATAAATAAAAACAGAATGGAGTATGTGTAGGACTAAAGCATGTTTCTATCTGGAAAAATGGCAACACTATTCAAAGCAGTAACTTAATACTACTGTTAGTACATTCCAACATGTTTGTGGTAAAAAGTAAAACTTGTTATACTATGGGAGGTCTGGAGCAGATAACAATTCTTACTTACTGCAAGTTATCAAGTGATGCCCCTGTCACTATATCTGTGCACTTCTTCCCCAGTAAGTATGGTTTTTAATGAATAATTACAGCTCATAAAGCATATAAAAGTTTATTGAGTTATATAGAAATATGTATATATACATATATGAATATGTTAGATTCTTTAAAAATGGAAAAAAATGATGTGGAGAGCAATCCAAGTAAGTCAAGAGAAGAAATTATAGCTTAGTTTATGTCACCAAAAATCATTCTCTGCATTGTGCAGAACTGTGAATGCTTATACAACACCTTCCTCCCCGCCTTTTTTTTTTTTTTTTTTTGGGTCCGGTCGTGGGGCCTGAACTCTGGGCCTGGGCACTGTCCCTCGGTTCTTCAGCTCAAGGCTAGCGCTCTACCACTTGAGCCACAGCGCCGCTTTCGGCTTTTTTCTTATGTGGTGCTGAGAAATCGAGCCCAGGGCCTTGAGCATGCAAGGCGAGCGCTCTACCACTGAGCCACCTTAGCATTTGGGCTTGAGCTCAGAGCATGGATGAAATCTTTTAGATTTTTTGCCCAAGACTGGCACTGTACCATTTGAGCCACAGTTCCAGTTCCAGGTTTTTAGAGATTAGTTGGAGAATAACGTCTCATGCACTTTCTTGCCTGGGTGGTTTGGAACTGAATAGCTATATATTATAGATATGAACCATTAGCACATGTTTGTACAATTCATATATAGTTACAGAGCACTTATAAAGATGCTGGTGAACAAAGACATGGTTGCTTTTGAATAAATAGAAAGATATGTTGTAATAGGTCCTTTTCCCCCTTCATTTGTATATACCTGATAACAAAAACCTGAAAAAGTTTTATACAGCATTTGTGCCACCAGCTACTGAAAAAGTATCTTATTCCATAATGATCTACGTTCACATATGGGAAATATTTCAGATTTTTATTTTTCTCCATTGTAAGCTCAACTTGTATTTATTTTTAAAAATGTTTTTCTGGGACTCGTTCAATTTGCAGCAGGACCTGTTTGTATCATTGGCTTGACTTGAAAAATTCCCTTTTACTCCAAAATATTTGTTGCAAACTGCTTTTTC